TGACACTGCAGGCTCCACAGGACTCCTCCTGCCAGGAACGAGAGGCCGCAGCATTTCCTAAATACCTTCCTGCCTGCTCTCCACAGTGATGCAATGTGACCTACATTCCCAACGCCCATTGACACTCGTGGGAGGGGAAGAGCAGTTTTTCATTTCCCCTCTCCTCGATTAACTAGGACAGCAAATGCCATTCAGGGGACTGCTACTGGGCAAAATTGAACGGAACACCATGCCGGTAGGAAGTTCCACAGAAGGACAGTGAGGAATATCGCATCCTCTGATTCAGCAGACAAATCAGGAGGGCTTTAAAGAACAGCCGCAAGGAAAAACTGCCCCTTTGGGCCATATCACCCTGACTGACACCAAGGGCTACTTCGTTTACTTCAGGCTCTCAGCAAGATGAAAGCTGAACCACAGACTCTTTCCTTGGCCATGGTCCTCTTAAAAATAAACTTAATTTTAGAGTAATTTTAATTTTTAAAGTTGCAAAAACTACACAGAGGTTTTGGTTCCCATAAACCCACATCTGGTTTCCCCTACTATTTCCTTCTTACTAAAGGAGAACACAAATATTAATCAGATCTGGCTTTGAAATACTTTACCTTTCTATTTAGGTTTGCATATTTTAATGTATTTTTTTTCCTTTTTGAGACAGGGTTTCACTATGTAACTGAGGCTGGCCTTGAGCTCACTCTATAGGCCAGGCTGGCCTCCAACTTGCAGTGATCCATCCTCCTGCCTCAGCCTCCTGAGTGCTGGGTACAGGAGTGCACCACTACACCTGGCCCATCTTCATTGAGAATGAATACAAGGGGAGAGTCTGGAGCTTCAGCAGTGGGACCACTTCATGGTAAGTCAACAGCAGGGTGCGTTTGTCACGGCTCACAAACCAACACCACCAGGTACTTAACGGTTATTTATTTTCCTACAGTTTTAATAAGGATTAAGGGACAAAAATTGCGTATGTTTATAAAATAAACACTGTTTGACACAAGTATATATTTTGAAATGATCAAAATAAGCTCACTGATACAGCCTTAGGTTTTTGGCATGTGGTACAATATTTAAGATCTACTCTCTCAGCAATCTTCAGGTATACAACTGTAGTCATCATGTGGCACAGTAGATCCCCAAACTCGTTCATTCTTATTGAAACTTGTACTCTAACCAGTATCTCTCCATTTTCCCTTAGCCACAGCTCCCAGCCCCTGGCAACCATTATTCTACTATTTTCATCAGTTCAACTTTCTTAGATTCTTCATGTAAGATCATGCAGTGTTTTCTTTCTGTGCCTAACTTATTTACCAAAATGTTCTCCAGTTTCTTTCATGTTGCTGCAAGTGACAGAATTGTCTTTTTAAAGGCTGAATAGTGTTCCACTGTACACACGTCACATTTTTTCTTCGTTTTGGCAGTACTAGGATTTGAATCCAGAGCCTTGTGTATGCTAAGTAAGCATTCTACTACTGAAACTGGGTCTTTTAAATTATTATTATTTTATTTTGGGTGGTACTGGGTATTGAACCTAGATTCTTCCTATTGAGCTATGTCCCAAGTCCTTTTTATTTTTGATTATTTTTTTAGTACTGGGGATCGAACACATAACCTTACACTTTCGAGGCAGGCGTGGTGCCACTGAGCTAAATCCCTGGCCCATTATTTTCCATTTTTGAAACAAGGTCTCACTAAGTTGATTCGCCCAAGCAGGACTAGAACTTACCCTTCCCTGTCTCGCCCTCCCAGAGTGCTGGGATTACAGCTACACACTACCACACATGGGTCTCACTAACTTGCCCAGGCTGGCCTTGAACTTGCAGTCCTCCTGCCTCAGCCTCCTGAACAGCTGGGATTACAGGCATATGTCACCACACCTGTCCTGTATTTCATTCATCGATTGCTGGATGTAGAGATTGGTTTCCTAGTTTAGTTATTATGAATGAGGAGATGAACATGGGAATGTAGATGTGTCTGGGACAAACTGATTTCATTCCCTTTTGATATACACTCAGTACTGGGATTGCTGTATCGTATGGTAGTTCTGTATTTAATCTTTGGAGGAGATTCCATACTGTTTTCCATAATGGCTGCACTAATTTACATTCCTACCAAAAATATGAAGGTTTCTTTGACTTTGCTCCATATCCTTATCTACAGTTGTGGTTTCTTACCTTTTTGATAATAACCTTCCTAACAGATGTGAAGTAACACCTTGTGGTTTGCATTTGCATTCCCCCAATGATGAGTGACATTGAACTTTTTTCACATATCTCTGTCAGCCATTTGTAAATCTTCTTTTTGAGAAATGTCTATTTGGGTCTTTTCCTATTTTTTAACTGGATTGCTTGTTTCCTTCCAATTGAGTTGAGTTCCTTATATATTGTGAGTATTAACCCCTTATCAGATGATGGATGGTTTGCAAATATCTTCTCCCATTCCATAGGCTGTTGCTGGAATCTGTTGGTTGTGTCCTTCCTGTGCAGAAACTGTTTAGTTGATGCAGTGCCTTTTGTTTGTGGTTGCAGGGCATCTCTTCCCCCTTTCTACACTGTACTCTGTGGAAGAAAGTCACAGTACACAACTCAAACAACTCAGGGGTGGGTGGTTATGTTCCCCTTCCTTAAGGGGCTTACGTGCATAACTCTAGAATTTTTGGAATTCTACATGAACGATCTAGATCTATCTATTCTCTTCCCTTTGCTTACTTATTCAATCATTTACATAGCCCTAGACCCAGCTAACTTGTTCAGAGACCCACTGAGAGACCTACCTAGCTCCCCTTCATCCAGCTGGAGTCAACCTTCAATCTCATAGTCGGATTCCGTAAAACAGGCTCAGAGTTCCTCATCCTGCTCCCCTGTCAACACCTCCCCACCTTAAGCAGGGTCTTTCAGGACGCCCTGCATCAAAGGCCTTCCTAGGACAACCACAAAAAGGCACATTTAAGAGCAACCTATGTTCGAAATCAAAGAAACCCAGAGTCCAGGTGGTGTTTTACTTACAGGCTGTGTGACAGAAAGACTCTCCATCTCTCTGATGAGTTTAGCTGAAAGCACAGTGACTACTAGCACATGCTAAGTGCTCAGTAAATGCACACTTTATCATCATTGGCCCCACCCTACAGACTATAAATCGAAACTCCAGAAAAGTGGAACACTGCCAGTCAGAGCTGATCAGTGTAAGGCAGGGCCTGAAACCAGCTCTTTTTCCTTCCTTTTGCAGTTCTCTACTGAGCATCATGCTCGGTGCCGGGGAGACAATGGAACCTGCTCTTTCTGTTTACACTCCAGAGAGAAGACGACCGAGGAATCTTTAAATTCGTGGGAAAGGTGCTCGGAGGAGACAGGCAGGGTGCCTGAACACAAGCGGGTTTTAGAGCAAGTTATAAGACCACCGGGTCTTGCCTGGAGGAAGGTTTTTGTGAAGAAGAGATGTCATTTAAACTGGGATGAGAAGGCAAAGAGGTAGGAAGGAGACTAGGGTGGCAGCAAGCACTCCAGACAATAGAATCTCAAGAAAAAAAATGGGAATGAAACAGCCACGGCGTCTGACGAGACTGAAGATGCAGGCAGGCCCAGATAGCGCGCATGCGTGCTGAAGGTGGCGCGCGGCACCCGCCCGCATAGCACTGGGAAGGCATCAGAGGAAGTGGAGCGACAGCCTTGCTCTGACCCCAACTCCCTGGAGTCCGAGCCTCCGGTGTCTTTTCATCATCTCCAATGCCAGAACACGGCAACAGTACACTTTTGATAAATACCAGTGAGTTAGTTATCTAAAAGAACCTCTGGAAAGCAGACTGAATCATCTCTCCTTCTTTTTAAAAATCCCAGCTGACAGTTCTATTAAAGTGCCTATCAATGCTTGTTATACCGTAGTTCAGTGTGGGCCTCTTTTCACTGCTTGATCATAAATTTCTGTAGAAAGATAAATATCTTTATCTTTCCATCTTTCAAAGCACATGCGCATTAAAGTTATAGATTAAACCAGACTCTCTTTGATAAGCTAAAAATCTCTTCTTATATTTCTAGATAGACTAAGTAAAAATCTTGCAAGTTCATCTCACTACTTAGATATGAAGGAATAATATGCAAGAACTTTTTTTTTAAGTTCTGCTTTTCTTTTGGCATCTTAACAATAATAAACCATTTTACCAAATTTTGTATTTTAGGATAAATCACTTATACAGTTAACATGCATAATTTTTTTGAAAAAAGTTAGTTTAATTTTAGCAAAGAACAAAATGCCCCAACAGAAGGTTTTTCAGTGATTTTCCAATTCTTCTGAGAACTGTTCCGATTCTTTGAATATTTACTCTGAGTTGGGTAACTATTTGGTCTATTTATATTAAAGGGCAGAATTGAGTCATAATCAATAGTTCACATGCTTTAAGGTTCATTTTGGTATTTTAGGAGATGAAGATGATGAGATCTGATGATGAAAGATGACAAATACCTTCCTAAGGTATGGTAGTAATTTTATTTGATCTCCTTTCCATCTCCAGACCAATTTTCCACCATTTTGGGCCCTGCTCTATGCCCCAAGGGGCTGACCTCTATGGACAGCATTACAGACTGGCAGGCTTCCAGGTGGGTTGGCCCAATAGGAGGAGTGGAAGGAGATCAAAGAGGGGGCAAAGAAAGTCAGCCAGGGGAATATTTAACCCTGCTCCAGGCTGGATTTCTGGCAAAGGCTGGGTCCCTCCAGGAGACAGCTCCTGTCTCATAGCTCCTGCTCTATGGCTCCTGCTCACTCAATGAACTCCAGTGACACTATTTTTTCTCTCTGCTCCTTCAGACCTAGCAGTGATAATAGCTTCCCACCGCCATTAGTTTCTGGGTGACAGAAACTCCACCCACCCATAATTCTGCCCACTCCTGACAATATAATACCCTCAATAAAGTCTCTTGAACCATCTGACTTAGACAGTTTCCTGTGAAATTCAAGAATTCTAACCATAGACTTGTAAAATCAACAATCTACCTCCTTTGCACGTGAGCAGTTACCTCAGTGGTTCTTCATCTTCCAAAGCAATTCCTTCACACCAAGCATTGCAGGTAAAATCTTTTCTCAGGTGGAAATGACACCTTTAAAACTGGCCAGTGCAGAATACTGAGGGGGCTCCTGAAATACAGCTGGCAGAATGGAAAGGCTGAGACAATTCTCTAGACAGGAGTCTATTACATGTCAAGAATAAAACATTTACAAAATGATGCCACTTGCTCCTGCTCCTCCTGAGTTTCCTCCTGCAAAGGGCAAGGAATCAAAGTCAGCATTGTATTTTCACACCAAATACCAAGTGGCTGTATCAGTGCCGAGGGAAGTTGCCCTAGGTGCTACTTCACTTTGCTAGTTTCTCAGACCTAAGGATCTGCTTACCACCAGCCAAGGAAGACAGAGAGTCAATCCTCTTGTATTACTAGCCACCAGTCCCCAACCTTCCTTCTTTCTCTCTTTGATCACACGATAAACCTTCGTTTCAAACTAAGGCAAAAGATGGGCAGGATGAAAAAATTCTGCTACATGCAGCCTTTCCTGCCTCTAACAGTTCTGACCAGATTAGCAGTTTTCTTTTCTGCAGGAGAGGACAGGTATATGTTCATACCATAATCTGCTCTGAGCTCTCTCCCTGGATTCTTCTCTTACCACAGCAACTGGATTTGATGGTAGATGTTAAAAGAAATCACCTGGGAGTCTCAACACTCTACCTTGCTGTCATTTGGCACAAGCAACGTGACGGTTATTACATTTCTAAATATTGGGGCATTCCTTGGGCCAAGAGGTGATTTAAAGAATTCTTCCAGGAGGTTACTAAGAACTAATGGGGCTTATTCCAACAAGCCCCTCCAACAAGGACTCCAAAAATCTCCCTCTACAACCAGCAGGCAATCAGAGCTCATGGCTTTCCATGTACAGGTAGTCTACAGGCTGCAGGAAAGATGCCCCACCTCAGGCCTATGCTGGCCTATGGGAAAGCCGTCTCCCCTCAGCCTGAAGGCAAGACCTAGCAGGTATCTGCGAGGCTGTGGGGTTAGCACACTTCAGTTCACACTGCATACCCATTTCTGCTGTTTCAAAAGACACTTTATTAGGGAACCATGTAAGCTGTCGGGTGGATATGTATTAAATGTTTTGGGTTTTTTTTGGTATTGGGGATTGAACTCGGGACCTTGCACTTGCAAGGCAGAGGGCAGAACCACTGAGCTAAATCCCCAGTGTATTAAATGTTAATAGAGGCACTTTCTCTGGGGAGCACAAGTATTCCAAGCATTAGTACAAGCTTTGATTTCATCTGTGTACCTGTGAAATTTTCTGAGCTTTGGACATACACATATGATTTCTGTAATCAGAAAAATATTATTTTAAACTTCTGTAAGTATTTAAAAATTTCAGTTTTCTATAAGAACTAAATTTATGCAATTCTTGAAACTCAAATCCAAATCATCTTAAGGTTTTGTGTATTTTAAGATTTTTCAATTGTATAATCATTTAATGGACTTCTCTGTTTAATAAAGAAACCATTCGACAGCCAGGCAAGGTTGCAGACACCTGTAATCCAAGCACTCAGGAGGCTGAAGCAGTAGAACTGCCACTGAATTCTAGGCCAGCCTGGCCTACCTAGTGAGTTCAAGGCCAGCCTGAACTGCATAGTGAGACCTGTCTCAAAAACCAAAACTAAGGGCTGGGGTGTAGCTCAGTGGCATGCCTGCCTGGCAAGCGTAAGGTCCTGAGTTCGATGCCTGGTACCCCCAAATAAATAAACAATTAATTTAAAAAAGAAAAATAAAATTTAAAACAAGAGAAACCATTCAAAAATGCAAAAAAAGAATGCTACATTACATATAACATGTAAATTCTTTCTAGTGTACATTATAACTTTAACTGAGATAATTTAGAATCCTTAACATTGAAGATCACTATTTTCATATTTTAAAGTACTCCTAAGACAAAAAACAAGAATGCAACTGTCCCTTTTTATAAGGGCACCATGAGACCATATTATATGCAGTTGTATGGCCAAGAGTCTACAGATAAGAACAGACTGAAGTTTCTTCCACTACAACTGCTAGCTAATAAAATCTTTCCAGTCTGCAGCTGATTAATACTTAATACGGATCTATGGAAAAGAAAGCTTATCGTTGCTGGCTGTCAGCTAAAGGGATAGACACATGAAGATACCCGCCCACTACCAGACTGTGACTGCTGTTCACTATGACAAGTGATTTTCAGCTTAGGGGCATGTGTAGTACTGGAATATCTTGTCTAAGAGCTAGTCTTTCTCATAATCTGTAGTAGCTGAACATATGCTATTCCCTGTCTTGTAGTGCTGAAATATGTTAAGAGGGAATGTTGGAAGCCATAAACATCTTTACTAGCTTCAGGAAGCTAGTAAATTTAAACAAATGATTCCTTTAAACTGTCCTAATGTAATGGCAAATGGTCTCTCTCCAAACTTCGATCTGCAAATGATTTATAGTTATAACTACCAGAACAATAACAATCAACAAGGTGGGGAGTAGAAGGCACAGAAAATGGAGCCTTAAATGTCTCCTCTTAAAGGAGCTAAGAGGGGCTAGCTGCCAGAATACTAAAATGCCTTTGTGTTCAACGTGCTAACACTTAAAGCACCAAGGAATAAAGTATAAGGAAGCAATATACATACATATATATTTTTTTCACTACAGAATTTCACTAGCATTCTTTTCAGGATTAAGTTCAAAGATTCTAAAGATTTAAAATGTCTACAAAAACCATGAAACAAACTAAAAATGCAAGAAAAAACCCCACATTTTTTGACTAGTGCTTTGCAGGACACAGCTAGAGGTTGTACATAGAAATCAGTGCCTAAAACAAATTAGAAAAAGACTATTTAAAAACTAGCGTTACATGTTAGAACACAGCTCTAAGTCTTGGGATGTCTCTGTTTAAATAAAGACCTGGCAAAACAAGAGCCACCATACACATTACTGCCACAGACAAGTTTATGGTCCAGATTATAATAGAACTTTTAAAGTAATGGGGGAAAAGAGCCGACAGACAACCCCACTGTTAACAGAATGCTGTCTGGCGACCTCAATTAAGCTAGTGTCAAGTGCTCCTTTCAAAACCTCTTCTGGTAGTACACCTGAACAACAGAAAACAGCAAGGATCATTTAAAAGAAGAGTCCAGGGGCTGAGATGACAAGCGACTACACCACAAGGTGGTAATTACACCCATGAGTAAGGAGAAACAGGCCAGACTGAAGGGCTCCAGGAGGTGCTTCAAAAGCAGCCAATCATCATGGCAAGAGAGGGGCAAATCAGCTCTGTGACTGGCTATCTGTGAGGAAATAAAAGGAAGATGGGCCTCCAACAAGAATAAACAAAAGCAGCTGCCAATGACCAAGGTGACTTCCGGAGAGCATCGCTACACACTGCTGCATTCCGAAGCTTTACGTAACCCCCACCCCCCAATTCACATGCTCAACTCCTAACCTCCCAGCCATGGCAGTGTTAGGAGGTGGGACCTTTTGGGAAGCGACTCAGTCAAGAGGCAGGAATGTGATGAGGGAGCCCATGAAGACTTGCGCACTCGGAGGGAAGCCACAGTTCTACAGCCGCCCCGGCAAGGCAGAGGCAAGCAGACCACTCGGGCCCTAAGGCCCGCAGTCCTTGTGGTCGGTGAAATCACTTACTTCTTGAGGCTGTATCCTCATGGAAAAGCAGAGAACATGCCTGCCCTTTCCTGACTTCACAGGACTAGAGCAGAGGGTAAAGGGGGATGTGAAAATCGTGAATAAATTACACTGTATGCGCACACATTTTACTATTTGAAATGTGGTTAACTTATACTTCCAAAAGCTATATAAGTACAGTTTGCCTATGAGCTGTGAAGTCTAAAATGTTTATTTTAAAGAATTAGTAAGGTTGCATTTAAAGCAGCTAGACACCAGGACAGACAGAAAAGTCAATGCAGGACAGTTTGGAGAAATTCAGCACAGGACTAATAACTATATTTATCCCACCAGGTCCTAATGGGATCATTATGCACTGAGTAAAAATGTTAACAATAAATAGTTAATAAATAGTTAAATCAGAAGCCAATAAATAGTTGCCAATAAATAGTTAAATCAGAAGCAATCACTTAAAAATAATCTGGCAAAAGCTGGATATGTTGCTCAGAGGTAAGAGTGTTTGCCTAGCATGTGTAAGGCCCTAGGCTGAATTCTCAGCAAGATGCACACCACAAAAGTGATTAAACAAATAAACTGGGTATGGTGTTGTACACCTGTAATCCCAGCATCCTGGGAGGCTGAGGCAGGAGCACCACAGTTTGAGAGCAGCCTTGTCAACTTTGCAAGACCTCGTTTGAAAATAAAATACATACATTACTACGCGTAGGGTAGTAAGCACTAATCTGCTAGTTATGGCTATATCTAGGTGTCCCCAAAGCCTCATGCAGTCAGAAGTGGGGCTTTCTCAGAAGTGGCTGGACACTGACTGATTCATGGTGCAATGCTATGATCCAGGGCTCTAGGATTAAAGGTGTGAGAGCTGCCTGCCCTAAGTAGCTGGATAAGATATAAGGGACAGAAAGCTGTGGTCATTGCTTGTTGCTTTGCTACCTTCTGCCCTCCATGAACTGTTTCTCCTTTGCGATGCAACCCTACCTTGGAGCCAACAGACTATGGACTGAAACGGCTACAATCTGTGAGCTAAATAAACCTTTCCTCCTTTAACTTTGGGTGCTGGGTATTTCATCTCAGCAACAAGAGAAGTAACACACTGCTGAAGTGGAAATAGAACCTCTAGAGGAATGTGGAGTTAGAAAAAGGGTGAACCAGGGTGTTGCAAACATTAAACGTGACAGGCAATGCAGGAAACATCTCATAGTGGCCCATAACTGCTCAAAGTGGATGCCTGTTGGCTTTACCTGTCTCACTGGGAAATTCCCCCAGGGGCACAGTCTTAGTCTGCTGCTAACCAAGACAGCTTCAGGATCTCCTCTGGGCCCAAAGATACACTCTCAGGGGTGTGGAGAGGGTAGCTCTTCAGTCTCTGGAGAAGACTTCCCACCAAGTCCTGCCCCCCAGAGTCCTAGGGCTGCTCTAGACCTGTTCGGCTGAGGCATGGCTCTTCAGCACCACTGTCAGTCCGGGGGGTGCACCAGGCTCTCACTGCAAACTCTTTTCTTTTTTCTTTTGTAGTCAGATTTAATTTGCAGTGCTTACAGCCAAGGACCTCTAGCTGATTAGCTATTGTTTTGATTCGAAAAGATTCCATTTTCTAACCAGGTGTGGTGGTATGTATCTAAAGTCCCAAGATATCCTGGCAGGTTGAGGCAGGACTGCAAATTTAGTGAGTTCTTGTCACATAAAAAGTAAAAATAAAAATAAAAAGAGGTGTAGCTCAGTGTGAAGTTGTAAAATTTTAAGATATTGGATTTTCTTTTGAGATTTTTAAAGATATACTTCCACTCATCTCCAGACTCCTTCTCTCATTTGAGTTCTTTATAGTTATAACTTTAAGAACCACTGATATCAGAATAAACTAAACTTAGAGGATTTCCCCCTAAGTAGATAAAAGCTCAAAAACAAGTACTTAACTTTCCTAAGGTCCACTTTTCACACCTTTAAAATGGGGTAACAGTATTACCCACCCCATGGAGCTATTATCCCAGGAGATAACACAGGAAGTATGTACTCAAAGCGAAGTTCTTCTGCTTTTGTTTTTGTTTTTGGAAATAGGGCCTCACTGTGTAGCCCAGACTGGCCTCAAATTCATGGCAATCCTCCTGCCTCAGCCTCCCAAGTGCTAGGATTACAGGTATGTGCCATCATTCCTGGCTCAAGGCAAAGTTTTATTAGTCAGTGCAAACACAGGGAATTTGGTTAGCAAGGCAAAAGCAAGCAGGCAGCCAACTATTCTCAAAGTTGGCTAAAGTTCTCCTCATGGCTATATGCAGAACTGTGCATAGCCATCAAGAGACGCTGTTT